GAGAACATCAATAAAATGTATCTCGTATGGTAGGTTTTGTAACATCAATAGAGAGTTTTTCGGACGGTAGGTTTGGAGAACATCAATAAAAATATCTCGGACGACAGATTGTTTTTTCATCCCCTTTGTGAAACAGATATCAGCCTGCAGATGAATTCTGTTTGTCAACAAGGTCATTTACATCGCCCTTTTATTTCAGTGCCGAATACCACCAAGATAAAATACACTAATCGTCAATTAATATTCAGCTAACAGCAAGATCAGGAAAACCAGAATTGAGATTATGTCCCGCTAGTTTCAAGGTCAGAGGAAACGTTTTTGAGTTCACTTCCGAACGACAGAAGGGTCAGAGATTTTATACTGCAGTTCATTTCATTTTAAGTCTATGGTCAAGGATACCACTTTCCAATTCACTTCCGGCTAACACCGAGGTCATGGACACTACTTTTCAATTCGCTTTTGAAAAGAATAAAGTACAGAAATGCAATGCTAGCAAACCACTTTTGATTCTCTTTCAGTTGGAGAAAAGGTTACACACAATTCAATAAGTTTCTTGGTGCAACAAAGGAAGGAACATTACAAAGAGTTAATCCCCCACATCACTTCCCAAACCAGCGAAACGACGTAGGATTATCTACGCTGTGACGTAGCGTGAACCGTGAGAACTTGTTGCTCTGTTTTGTTAAAATTGTCACTCGCCAGAGGCTCGCTAAAATGAAAAATTCTTAGACTCGTTTTATAAATCTCATATAACATGGAAACTCATGTAAGATCTTATATATAATACTATAAAAATAATGGGATAATATTCAGAACACATTTAACACAAAGTGTAACACAAATGTCGTATGGATATACGCACTGGCGGACTGTCAGAAAAAAAGACAACTCTTAATACCCCTTTATTATTGTTAGGTCGGCATAATAACTGTAGAAGGACGAAATGTATGCTATCGCAAATGCTCTGACATCAGTTGATTTAAATCTATTTGATTGAGACTCGATCAGGAATCCAAGAAAAACGAATACTCTATAGAATCATATTAGAGAGCCCTTTTTATTTAGACAAACAGAAACACGGTCAGAAGCTTGAAATGGTTTAAAATACAGTAACTAGTAAAAAAAACTCACTTGGAACTGAATGACATCGTACAGGAATTTCGCATTGCATAAAGGGGCATAAAGGGGCTATCGAGTCAAATGACACTCTTAAAATCGAGTAGATACTGAAGGTATATATCTCATCATGAACGTTTACGTCGGTTATAGTGACATGACCTGAGGCCAACGTCCAGTGCGGTCAGTTTTATCTTTTGGGAATGCCGGTGATAAAAATAGCTACGACCGAAATAGCGGAATATCCGGGTCTTTCTGTGAGTAGTACCACGTTGTCGACCGACAGGGAATATGATTTTACACATAACACACGTTTGTCGCTTTGAATTTACACAATACATCGCAAGCAAAATTATAAATATTGAAACATATTAATGTTATGAGATGTTTCTGTTCACATTTGAATTTGAATATAAAGAAACAGGTTGAATTAGAGTATGCAGGCACTGAGAGATTACCGCCGGGAGAATGTCAAACCGCACGAAGTACGATATCAATAGGTTTAAACGTAAAATAGATCACTCATTGGGAGATGCTTTTGATTCAGAATAAATTCCTGTTCTTGTATTGCAAAAACGTAAGGTGAAACAAAGCGAGTATTCATCTTCTCCCCTCGGCTGTAAAGACATTTTGTTAGCTAGAAGTTCCCCGACAGCTTCCGCTAAAACATGATGTTTTAAGGATTTCTTTATTACTCATTTAAAACGCCCAGAAAGCGTTGTCTCTAGGCAATTTTCTGACATGAATAGTTTATAAGGAGTATCAAAATATCTTATCATGGGGAATTTTGTGACAATATTATAACAAAAAATCCTTCTTACAATTGTCCTTTTAAATCAAAGAAAAGTCTTCACTTAAGAAAATTACGTTGTGAAAAAAACTACGTTCATTTCTTAGTCTTAAGTCCCGACAAAGTCGACATTTTGTGTTTCTTACACATACACAATAACTCATTACAGTGCATAATTATGTATATTAAGATTACAAAATACCCGTTTTGGTTGTTAGTCCGACAATGTCAACAAAACTATATGCGTAATTGACACTTCATTCAGAACTAGGTAATATTTAATTTTTATAAACACTTTTGATTTTGTCCATCATTCTCATTTACAATAGAAATGATTTTTACATATTTGTTCAATAAATAAAAACAGTTATAATAATGGTATATATATCAAGAATACACTGATTTCAAATGTCGATTTTGTGTACGATTGAGTCTGCAAGTCATACAAGTTGGAACACTTGGATGCGATCCATCTGACCTGATTGGTTTGTCACCACCAGTTTATCACCGCAAACAGATATTGCCCACGGTTGTGTGATACCGTCCGCTGCCGTTAACAGTTCCCGGACATTAGTCCCATCCCCGGACATCTGTACCACGTTGTTGGAGTAGTAACCACAGACATAGACGTTACCTTCAATGTCTACGTCCACTCCATACGCATGCTTAACTACACCAACCTTCAACACGTCCATGTACTTGTTGTCAGTAGACAACCTACCAATCGTCGTACTGCCATTGCTGTAGTTATACTGGGTGATAAAGAGTTGTCTGTCCTTGGAATCATGTGACAAAGCGAATACTCTGTCAGTATATCGATATAACGTCTTGGTCGTCCCGTCGTTCCTAACACTGCAGACTTCGGATCCTGTACTCACGATTAACTCATCATCTCTGTACGTTATACCGTAACATTGTTTTTTTGTGTTTATTACAGACGACAGTGTAAGTTTGGAGGGTGTCACAGTCACTACACGTATACCTCCAGGACTTTTTATAGCGGCCGCCACAGTGGTGTTATCCACCATACACAGATCCCAAGGATTTCCATCCAATTTCAACTCGTCCACAACATCCCCCGCGTCGTTGATTAACTTCATTTTGTTATTGCTGTTATCTCCCACCACAATTCTGCCGTCAGGAAAGTATACAACACCACGGGCAGCACAATCAAATTGATCAGACGGACATTTTATGTTCACCTTTCTTATTTCCTTTACTTCACATTGGGATAAAGGTTTGGCGAGAGCTGCGACACCTGGTAAATCTCTTCGCTGCTTTCGGACAACGACTTTACCAAAGTTCAGACTTGTCACGTCCGAATCTATTTCATGTTCAATACTGACAGTTGAAATCGACATCTGCATTTCTTTCACTAGATCTTTACAAGCCCCGAGCTCCGTCTGACCTTTCTGGTAAAGCCTGATCGTGTCCATATGATCGTTCCTCTGTAGCGCTGTAGCGGACGATTCTAATGTATTCTGTATAGCGACCTTCAGCCGTTCACACTTCTGTGTGGACACCTTAAGATTTTCTCTTTCCTGTTTGTACGCCGTGATTACGTCATCTGTGATTTCCTTCTTCATCTCTCTGATACGTTTATCCATACGTCCCTGCAGGTCGTCGATGCTTTTCAATATCGCATCTTTGTCGTCTGCAATGTTCTGTTGTCGTAGATAAAAATCCTTTATCATAGATTCCATGTCGTCTGCTCCTTGCTGTAGATATGTCTTTCTTTCCTCTAGTTGGGAGCTACTATTCAGTTTCTCACAGTAATCCTCTGTTGTGGACACGTTGTCACATTTCCTGTGACCAACAATGATACATTTACTACAACCCAGGGACTTGTGATCCTCGCAATAATAAGCAATCACATCCTTGTGTTTGTCGCATCGTTTGTCAGATGTTTCCTGTCTCAGCAGGAAATTCCCGGAACCTCTCATATCTACGATATCACAGCTCACATGGACCACATCATGGTGATCCACTTTACAAGACTCACAAAACAATGACTGAGTAGTTTCACACCAGAATTGTGCAGAGGTCATGCTTCCCTTTCTCTGACAGGGCGCGCAGTAACGTGGCTCTGTCGTCCTGTTTCTCAGTTGTATCATCTCTATGGCAACACTGTCGGTCGGGAACTGCTGGGCCCATTTCTCTTTGTCTTCCGTTTTGTCCACAGGGTGAGTTAACGTCCTACATACCGGACAGATAAAGGAAGTCGCCGTATCACTCGTCCCTAACACCTCACTGACGATGTAGCTACTCAAACATTCCTCACAAAACGAATGACGACACGGCAGAGACTTCGGCTGACGTAACTGCTCAAGACAGATCGGACATTCGAGAAGATGCGAGTCTGATAGGTCAGGTAGTGCGCTGTCTTCAGAGTGAGGGTCTGGATGAGGACCACCTTCCGCCATTGAAACGCTGATTATGTATCTCTGCAAATATGAGAATAAAGTAATATCATTCGCACTGATTTTAAAATGGGTATTTTTCTGTTTACTACAACATATAGAAGCTATTCGCCTAGTTTCAACAAACGTTTTTACGGTCATAGCGTTGATGATAAATTTAATGAAAATTACAAAGCTTGAAGAAAATTGGTGAAAGTATTTGTAAGAGTTGTCTCCCTTGTGTTTGAAGCTTACTTTATGTATCATTAGATTTTAACTACAATACGATAATGATAACTTGACCGAAGGTATACGCTAAAACAAAAACATTTGGACAGTTTAGGTGGACTCGGCTGCAGCACGGGTGACTTAGAACCTTAGCTTGACACTGCCGGGAGTGGAGGGTATGCTCGTACCACTCTCCCCTGTGAGGTAAACGTAGGGCCGTGGTATCAGGCTTATCTAACGTCCCTATATTTCTAATCGAACTGGCAGCTGATAACAGTAGAGACAGCGGCGACTGAACACACCGGCACCGACACATATAAACGAAAACGAGCAGTACATTAAGGCACGTATCGCAATATATTTAGTAAATTGTCTCGTAAATCAAATCAACTAACAAGACTTTTTCGCAATAAATATCAAAACGTGTCCACGTTATCTGGCCTAAAAAGAACGCGATAGCAGAAATATGTTACGTTAGATATTACATCTGTTAACAATGTAATTCATGAGAGATACTTTTCCTAAAAATGTATAACAAGAGATCTCATAGGGATATTGGCACCCATCATCGTACCGTATAGGAATCGACATATGAAATTTGATAAAGATCTGTCAAGCACTTTAGAAATAGTGATAACAAAATTGAACTGTCGAAATTCAAGATGGCTGTCCAGTCGAAGTCCTATATTTCCAATCAGTCCCAAAAAACAATTGGCATAACTAGACACATATGAAATTGAAAAAAAAAACTTTCTGAGAAAGAGTGCTTACAATATTCTTCTTTCATAGTTCAAGATGGCCACTTGCCAGCTATCTTGGTTTTCCTATTAGTCCCGATATGCCAAAATCGGAACAGACCACCATGGGGAACCCTTCGAAGAAAATTCGAGAAAGAGCCTTCTTGTACGTTCCGAGCAATAGCGCTAACAATCTTAAACTCTCATAATTCTAGATGGCCGCCAGAAATGCGATCGGCGTTACTAATAGCAACGGGGAAGCTTTAGATGTAATTTAAAGGGACATCACGTGAAAAGGCGTTTTTTTTTAATGAATGTATGTATTGTATGCACTTCCACTTATGTTACCTCGCTATCCCCATGTTCAGACCACTTGAATTGTTCGGGAAAGCCCTGCTAAAAATAGCGCCGATAACGTCACCTGACTAGGCAGTAAACACAAGTGGTGCTAGCGAGATGAAACGGCTTCCAAAGGGGCCCCCAGAGAGGGGCCGTCAGGCAACTGCAACTTCTTACCACACTTCGAAACTAAGTTATATGATTTCTAAGTCCGTATTCAAACTTATTGAACAGTAATTATTCATCATTAGAAGTTCATTGCACACTTGCCAATGTTCAGAATTTAATTTTATTCAGCTTTAAACATAAATGTGTTGCCAATAAAGTTAAACAAGGGATGGGGCACAAGTTTTTACAATTTATCACAGCCTTCTCCCGTCATACATTTACAATTAAATGTCAACAATGATAATAGGCATAAACATAAAGTAGATTATTATATCTAAATATATATTGAATTTAGTACTGGAATGTGGCAGGTACAGATGGTACGGGGCTAAACACCTTCCCTACACCAAGGGACAAACCTTTCTGATTTTTATTTTATATATTGCCGGGGCAGAGGAGGCCGGGTATTCATATTAGTACTAATTTAAATCTTGCATGTAAAAACAAAAATAATCGTTTAATTCAGCAATATTATTAAATCATACCATTTTATTGAACCCGGTAATATTATAAATTATGTAAATCCACGGACTTAGATAACACGTATCTCGCGATCGGTGGCCCAGAAAATACGCCGTTGGCCATCACAACAGTTATCCCTTGGAGGGCCTCATGGAAAAATCAAACTAACCAGTCACTTATCCCTTCCTTTCGCATAAACCACTGTATAATTATAGAAACACAAAGTAAACTCTCTCCAATACATGCCCATTAACATATTAAACTAAGTTCATCTGTGTTCAAACTCAGACAACGATACTAGCGAGCTTAATAGTTTTAGATATTTATTCATAACATAAACAGCGCTAGCATTTCTGTCGATTTCATTTCAGCTTAACCGGCTACCGGAAGAATACATGCACCGTACGCTACGGCAGTTATTTTCTCCTTTGAATACTGCCCACCTGCAATAATGATTCCGTAACGTACTCCTTGCGCTATCTTTTGACCATTTGGCAACTTTTCGTTTCGTAGATGACACGGTACAACACTTTTCTTTCGCTTACTTCACACGGCTAGTCATTTTGTTTACAAAGCAATGGTGTGCTATGCGCATGCGCTAGAAGGGGGAAATCCCTGAACAAAACGTTGGTCAGACCGGTAGAAATACTGATTATTTTCTTAGATTTAATCATTTTTATGAATCTATTTCAGCCAAATCCGATCGTTATTTTCCATAAGGAGTCTCACTTGATATGTTTATGTTGTATTTGAAAAAAAGACAAAAAATAAAGTTACTTCACCGTGATGCCCCTTTAAGTAGTATCCATACAATACGGTCTGAGAAATAGCGCTTACAGGAATTATTTAAGGACGGACAGCCGGACGACGGACGATGTGACACATGTATTGACGGGCGGACAACGGTCCACGGACGAAGGTTTATCTGAACAGCTAACCATCATCAGATATATATAACAGTGTAACGCGAATCGCGAGTTTGGATGTAGGCCTACATAGCGCATAAGGTTCGGAGCTCGAATCCTTGTTGGTGTGTATTTTGATCCGCCTACTCGTACAGATATACGCTACATTAGAACTATCGTGTTTTAGATTCTGTTTAGATTTGTTTATTTTATGATATAAATGCCTGTGATTGAATGTTCAGTAGATAACTGATATAGTATGACTACTAAATGTTTTATCTGATAACGACACGTGGACAGTTAATATGTAGAACTGTTTATCGCTGATATGGTCGTTTTACGACTCCTATATAGGCCACAAAACGATAAAGATTTGTTTCAGGTACCCCAACCGACCTTAGTTTTTACCTCCGACACTAACAATTTTATCTCACTCGAACACTCATTCGAATGCGCCGAAAATCGTTCATTAAATTCAATATGACATGGACACGAATGTAATATTATATTTTTCACATAACTATCACAAATTGTAAATTGTTATGAGCTGACTCTATAAAGGTCAAAATCAAAGTACTCCGATGGTAGTATTGACGTGCGACGCAGTGCAAAGTAGTTTCACACTTTTTTTTAATAATGAACAGTTTTCAATGCAATAAAAATGTTAGTGACATAGATTTGTCAAGATGGCGGGTCAAACCCGATTGATGTCTTTTACATTTTCAAAATGTATGTACATGTATATGTTTGGGAAATCACCACCAGTGTGACATTGTTATCAAGAATGAAAATATTTGTTATTTCTTTAAATACACGTGTGTATTTAAATTAAATACAAATTAATTACATGGCCGTATTACATAATAAAATGGGTCAGTTATGTGATAAATATCATGAACACCTGATGTCAAATCATCAGCTGCTTCAAGTACGGTAACCGTTACTAAAACCTGTTCCACCCTATCCCAGTTATTTTCGAGGGCCCCTTACATTTTCTGACTTCGTATTGCTTCCAATTCAACATCATCGCCTCCAAGAACCCCTACCCACACACACACCCCCCTTGCCTCCCCTACCACCCATCCAACCCAGGGTTCCACCCTTGAAGCCGTTGCTCCAAGCTAAGAACATTGTGTGGGCGATTTGCAACATGGACAAAGTTCATTGATTCTTCTAAATATCACATATAGGTGTGGATGTGTGGTGTTTGTGTGACTCTCATGTTTCTACTACTAATTTGATTGAGTCATTTATCTAACTTTACAATCACCACTGGAAAATACTTAACGATTACATCAATATCCTCGTAGTAAATACACAATATGTACATGTTTGTGTGTTATACGTGATTCATACGTTATGTAAAAAAAGTCAGTAAGCAGGATACATAGTTGTACTTACTGCTCCATCGATGTATTCGAATCTTTGAATGACGAGGTGTGTCCACCCCTCTCCGATGATGTATCAGCTACCTATATATGGAACGTGACCCTATCAACTAACAGCAAGGCCGTAATACCGGGTATGATGTATCCGGATAACTCAAGGTCTATTTAGTACACAGGCCTATGCATCGTATAAGATGTGGAGTATCAAAATAGGTGCTTTCTAGGTATTTCATTGTATAATATGTCATTAAAATAATTAAAAAATCCTAAAACGCCATCAGCCCGGACTCAAGTTTTTTGCTCTTATCAATGATGCTAAATTACTCTGAATGTTGTAAGATTGATATCGATTAATCTTTTTGAACAAATAAAATTTGTTTATTTTCTGAAACAGCTTTAGAGCTAATTAGTAATTAGCATAATAAAAATCGACGAATCAGACTATACGTTATCATTATAGTAGAATTTGATGGGTTGAATTGATGACCTACTTTTGATACAACTGATAATCAAAGTATCTTAGCTTTAGGCATTTTGCTTCGACATTGTTATTCCAAATATTTATGTTTTTAAATTTACATGTAAAACATATTTTGTGATAAACACGGCAGACTACAAAGAGAAGTTATCTAACGTTAATATTTTATATAAATATAATTGAATTTAGACATAAACGAGAAATGACTCTGCAAAAGATAAACATAGTTTTAAATGTGTGTGGAAATAAGTCAGGAATAACCGAATAACTAAAAAACCAATAATGATAACAAAAAGAATGAGGGCATTTTTGCCCAAAATCATCAGATACTAATCAGGTT